CACTGCTGCGATGGCCGTCAACGCCAAGTTGCACTCCGTGCTGGAGTACGTGCGGGACATGAACAACCCGTATGTGTGTCTTGTACAGAAGGCCATGAACGCCGACGCCGCCATCGTCCCATTCTACCAGGTCGAGGAGGTGCGGGAGGCCAGCTTTCAGTCCGACTACGCCTGCGAGATGATCATGAAGGCACTCGCGCCGAGGCTAGATGAGGCCTCGACTGTCACCGTCAATAAGGCGCTCACACTCTTCCGCGTGCTCTTCCTCGAGGGCGCCAGTAGCCTCCGCACGCGCATGGCGCAAGTGCGCGGCAGTCTGCTGCGCATCGCGAACCTGCAGGGCGTGCGCAGTGGCACGTTGGAGGCGTCCAACAAGGATCTCGCCGCCGCCCTCCTGCAGGCGATGGAGGGGAACAGCGACGCGCTCGCCGCGTTCTCGTCCGCGTATACGAGCGGGACGAAGGAGGCGGAGACATCAACCTTGCAACCATACAAGAGCGAGTTCCAGACGATGCGGGAGAAGGAGCAGCGCCTCTACCGAAGGCAATGCGAGGAGGAAAAGAGACAATCGGCGGTGATTGTGAAGGGGCGTGTCTACGAGACCTTTGACGTGAAGTTGTCGCCAGACAAACTTGTCGAACAAGTCATCACTAACCCGAAGAAGAAATTCGCACGACAGGAGCTTGACTCCTTTGTCACTGCCGCGACCGCGACTGGGAATCTGCAGGAGGTGTGTGCCGAGCTCGACCGCCACCTGCAGGACGGCCGCCAGACGCTACAGAATCGCTACAAAGTCCTTCTCGTGGTGGAGGCGCTTGTTTGCAGCGGAGCGGAGGCAGTTCAGGGGTACTTCTGCGACCACAGCACCGGCATCCGCCGTCACCTTGAAATAAACCCCGCCGACAACCCGGTGAAGGCGGAGGCGGCCAGGGGTATCGCCCAGCGCGTTGTGCAGGCGCTGCATGGGCAGCCGGCGTCGATGTTGCAGACAACAGCATCATCAGTACCAGTAGCAGCAGCAACAACTACATTTCCAGGGCAGCATAGCGTCCCACAACAACAACAACAACAACAGCAAGATCAACAGCAGCGGTCCGCATCAATGCAAATTGACGATTTGTTCTCTGATCTGTCATTTAGGAGGGCGCCGGCACCTTCCCCTGGATCGAAGCAGACCACCAGCACTAACACTGACGATATTTTTGACACATCTCAGTTCAATCAGCCAATTTCATCGACACCACTGTCGTCCTCTAGCGGTATCACCGTTCTGTCGCGTGTGTTTCACCCCCACCCTCAACCAATACCACCGTCATCGCAGCAGTTTGATTGTCAGCAACGGGTCGATGCAGTGCAACAGAACATTCCTCCAATGAGGTCGCTGACCGCGTCGTCGCGAAATGCCACAGATTCAGGCTACGGGGTGACGAGTGGTGATGTATGGCATCAACAACAGCAACAGCAGCAGCAAGGTGGCGCTCCATTGAGTGGAAGTAATGGTGTCTCGCCGCCACCGCCAATCCCAACCCCCTCAAATGCCATGGGAGAAATGCTCACATCAGGAGGAGAAGGACCGTTCTATCTGTCTTCTTCCCCTGCCGCTCCCCAGCAGGGACAGAAGCAGCAAAAAGAAATCCACAATGCGCAGAGTATTGACAAGATGAGACTAATGGAGCAGCTTCAGGCACAGATGGAGGCAACACGGCTTATGCTGGAGCAGCAACAGGCGGCCTTCCTTGCGCTACAGGCGGAGCTGCGAAATACATAACGATCAGTCACTTTGCTTTCTCGCATTTCTCCTGCAAGATGCTCTCATGTCTTATTATTGTTGTCGTTGTCTTTGTCTTTGTCGCCTCCACCGTCGTCGTCGTCGTCGTCGTCGTCGTCGTCGCTGTCGTCGTTGTTGTGTGTGACATTCGGTTTTGTTCCACCGTCTCTGCCGTCTCTGCCGTGTGTGCGATGTGCCGTTTCCCGCTGCTTCCTGACGGGTTCCACGTCCCTCTCCTCGTTCTCTCCTTGGCACTGTGTCGTCGCCAGCTGCTCTAGTAGAGGAGCTCCTCCTCCGGAGAGTGTGGAGGAGGCATGGGGGGAAGAGGACGGGTAGGGTTTACTATAGCCACGCTGCCACGAAGAAGACTGTGTGGGACCTCGAGGCGCATCTGCAGCGGGAGTTGATCGAGGGCACGGATGAGACTCAAGAAGGCCAGAAGGCTCTGGTGAGTCACTCGCAGGCAGCCGTTCCTGACGCACACGAGGAACAGAAACCGGGGCGAAAGCAGGAATCCCATGACCTGGCTGAGGTGGAGGATCGCCTGAAGGAGAGCAAGGAGTGGGCTGCAAGAGCTGCAATATGAGGGAAATTGTCTGTTGCGGTGAAAGAGCTTGGGGCGCGATCCTTCGTCACTGCATTGTTGCAGGTTGCAACGAGGGCTGTGCCGCTCGTTTGCGTGGGGCGCTACGACGGTGATGTGCCAATTGTTGGCTTGCTTCCTGCGGGGTCCGCTGCGTCCGTCATGGTCGTTTGCTTGCTGATCCCCTCTGCCGTACCTAACAGCTTGCGTTGCGTGAACCTGCAGCAGAAACGTCTGCCTTCATTTTCGTTGTCTACGGAGTCTTTCACTGTTGAGAGGAAGAATGTCATGCTCGAGCTCGACCCGGGTGTGCAAGTGACATTCGTTGTGAATCGTGAAGATGCGGGTCAAGAACATCTGCTGGCGTTTGCGTGGCTGCCACCGCTCTTTCCTCACCCACCGTCGTGGGTGCACTTTAGCCCTGTGACGGACGGAACCCGCGGTGCCCAACTGCAGTACGGCGGGGTGCTGACGGAGGGAAAGCGGGCGCTGTTGAATGCACTGCACCATTCCCTTGAGCGCGTGGCACGCGACAAGGCATATATTCCTACCGCGAATTGCTCCGACACTCCTGAGCGCACGGCTGTGCCCCCCGCTTCCCCCAGTTCCTTGCCCGACGACATGTTAGCGCAGTTGCTGGCAAGTGCGGCGCGTTCTGCTTGTAAACAGCGCTTAGAGCTTGTCGATCTCCTACTACGTGTGCCACATGCATGAGTGAGCGGTGTGCTGTTACTACTACTACTACTACCAGTTGCCGGTGTGAATCAGGGAAAAGACTGCGACATACCTTGATTTGGAAGGGTGGAGAGAGCATGTCTTTGAGTTTGTGTGCTTCGGTGTTACATACGGCTTGCATTACCCTCCATTCTTCTCCCGTTCCCCTCCTCTTCCTTCTCCTTTCTCTACTTCCTGTTGTTTTAGAGCCCTTGAGGAGGCAGCATGACTACCCTGTATGTGAACGGCTCTGTGCTGTGGATGGGCTTGGCGCTCCTCTTGTACTGGAACTTCTTCACGTACCTGACACAGGCGTCAGCAGCGGTGATGTGGGTTCTTGCAACGGTTGCCATTACCAACGCTGTGAGAAAANTTCTGCTTGCTGTCGAGTGGGTGTGTGGTGTCAGCGCGAGTGACACGCCTGGGGCAGGGACATCCGCCGTCAACGTCGTGTTCGACAGCAGCTTCGTGGGTTCAGTGTTCAACCTCGTGGCCCTCATCATCTTCTCAGGGGCGAAGGCAACGGCGGCATGGCGCGACGCGCTCGTTACTGCTGTTGCGGTCAGCTGTTGGGCCTCGTGGGTGGGCCGGCAGACAGCCGCATGGCCACACCGACCGGACTTGCGCTTCCGCGTCTTCGCTTTCGTTTCCGGCTGCCTGGCGCTCTTCACAGCGGCGCTGCTTTGGTCTTTCTTCGCCACGAGCCCGCGGCCGCGTGATGAAGCGGAAGAGGTTATCTTCTACACACTAATTGTCTGGGCCGCAACAGTGTCGGTCCAACTACTGCAGTGCCTCACCTTCGATGTGCTACACGTGCTGTACGCTACCGTACGTCGGGGGCGCCACGGGAGTGAGTTCGACCCGATGGAGCAAGTGGGCCTGTCGGTGCGCAGCTTCGCGGCCGGCCTGTCGTTCTGTGCGGCCGTCACGTACTGCCCCGAACGGGTCGTGACGCTCATGCAGCTGACGGTGGTGCGCCGCTTCTACGGCGTGGTCAGCGCAATGTCGACGCTACACCGCTTCAACGACGCCTTGCGGTCCTTTCCAGAAGTGAGTATGTCGGGGTACTGCGTCATATGCATGGAGCCTGTCAAGACGTGCGAGCGGGCGCGGAAGCTGCGCTGTGGGCATGTCTTCCACAGCCGCTGCCTGCGTCGGTGGCTGATGCGCGCTGACCACTGCCCTACCTGCCGCCACCCCACACATTTGCAGCAGGAAGACACGGTGGCATCATTCGGCATCGGCCTGGATCACCGAAATGTACAGGAGCAGCGGCCGCGCACCTCACAGGACGCTGCGGTGCAAACGATGTTTGAGCTGGAGTATGTCGAACGGCCCATGACATTCCACGGTTCGCTGCATCCGCTGGTGCGCCACAGGAACGCCGTAGTAGAGGCCGCATTGGCGCTTGGCGACAGCGGTGGAGGCATCGGAAGCAGCGGCGGTAGTAGCATCAGGATAATTAACAACAGAAGTAACTTAGTAACAGGGTTGCAACAGACGGCGTCATCGCCGCTGCCGCACCGATTTCCTGTGGCGACAGGGCCGCATGATGAGTCACCAACCACAGAACCACCCGCCGCCCCAACAACACTGCCGGCGGTGGAAGCAGAAGTAGAAGTAGCCGCAGTGCCTGACGAGTTTGCCGACAATCCCATCGCTCAGCGACTGCCGCCAAAACCGCGGCGGAAACGGCGGCACGCCGCCGCACAGGAACGTATAGGCACCCCTGGCACCAGCGACAGTGCTGGCACGACCAATACCAATGGCGCTACCAAGAATGGCGGCATCTACAGAGGCGGTAGTGAGGTGGGAGTGGATCCTCTGCCGCGTAAACGAACAAAACTGGAAGAAGATGAAGCAAGAAGCTCATGAAACATATGCGAGCGTGACATTTGTTTGCCGCCATGTTTCAACAGAGGGCCGCAAGCAATGCATACTGTTTCTGGTGAAGTTTCAAGAGACGTTGCAAACGCAGATGAGTCTATTTCACGCGCTGCATCGCGAATCAAACTGGTGACAGATTCACATCAATCCTTATTTGTTGTTTGGCAAGTGAAACCTACTCCCTTTTATATTACCTTTCCTCTGCCCTTCCTTTGTTTTCCTTTTTGATTTCTTAGTGGCGATAAATAAGAGTGCGTCATCGGCTTGTGTTGTGGCGACATGCTTCGGCACTCAAAACAGGAGCAGCAGATGTGTCGCAAGATGCCCGGCACGTATCTTGGCTACGTGTGCGATCAGCACGATGGGCGTTGCGTTATCTGCGACCTGCAGTTTGACGAGGTGCTCCCTTCAATGCGGGAGGTGCACGTGTGTGACGACTGCGGCTTCGGCAAGGAGGGCGAGGAGCGCTGTGTCATGTGCAACTCCGGCAAGACGACGGAAGTGGCGTACTACTGTCAGTACTGCGTCGGGCTCGGTAAGGACCGCGACGGGTGCCCACGCGTGCTGAACCAGAACAGGCATCAGCGCATGGCGGCCGTGCGCACACGGTGAGTGACGTGCCCGTGTTTCTCTGTCTCTGTCTCTGTGTGTGTATGCGTGTGTCTGCTGGTGGTGACGGTGGAGAGGTGCTTCATCCCTCTCTACCAAAGCAACACCAGCAAGGAAGAATTCTATTATTATTATGACTATTATTATTTCTCCCTCTCCATGCTCTTCGCCCTCAGGCTGATTTATAGTTACGCACGCACATAGTGGTGGCTGATGCTGCGGCGTTGGCAGCGGCGGTCAGCGTTGGTCGTCTGCGCCGAGACCGCCCGCTCGGT